TGGGGTTGTTAACCAATGTCATAAAACAACATGTGTACTACTGTTGCATGAGAAACTATTTGTTCTGTAAGCCTTCACCTGAAGTACAATAAAATATATTAAAAAAAAAAAAGAAAAAGAAAAGATCAGTAGGAAACTGTCAAGTCACAGTGCAGATATAAGGCTTCCAAAATTCTAATTTTTGTTTGAAATCTTTGATTCTATCATTAAAATATTTTCTGTCAGTTGTTTTTCTTGAAATTACAGGCTCACTTTGTTCGTTTTCGAGGTGTCTGCCAAATAGCTAAGTCTAAATAACCAGTTTGCCCATCAGTCATTTTCTCAAGTGAAAATGATGTTCCAAGAAAAAGCAGCTAGTTTGCTCACAACTCAATCACACAAACACTTTTCCTCGAGAAATCATCCCATTTCAGTATGTAGCCAACGTGTTTTATGCAAACTTCTCATTTCATTACACAGAATATTAAAAAGATATATGCTGAAAGGTTATGATTTAATAACATTAATAGCTTTTGCTGTTTTATCAAGGATATTCTTAAGTGAAACTGACATTATTTTACTGCATGTGTGTACAGTAAAGAACACAATGACTACTGGTACAATTTGTTGCATCTGCCTTTAATGCAAAGATGCTAGAAATTTTACCCACCATTGCTTTTGCACCATCAGTATCAACACTGCAAAAAAAGTCAAAGAGTTTTCGGTGACTCCAGAGGTCCATGGAACACACTCTGAGAACTTCTGCTCTTACCTGTCCCAGCCATCTACTCAATGCAAGTGAACTAAGTCTGAAAGGAGGAGGACTAGCCTATAGAATGGTGCTGACTTAAAAAAAATAAAAAAATAAAAAAACCCAACTCCACTCACCATAATGCTCTAAAGATTTTTAACAACTAACAGCTTATGGAATAAAAAAGAATTCATATTAATTGAATGGTTATGTACTTAAATCTTAGATCTCCTTTCCTCTATTACATGTTCCCATGAATTGAAAATAAAAAATTCTAGAATAAAGCATTTAAAAATTACTGGAATTTCACACACCAAATTTTAGTTTAAGAATTTTATATAATTTTTCAAGTGTCAGTATCTTATCTCTGAGTCTGTATTCTGACTTTTCTTACAGAAGATGAGAAGGTTAGTTTGAATGTGTTGATGGATGCAGCCAAAGTTTTTACAGGTGAGTGAGAATTTGTAGAAGACACTATAAAACTGAGATCTTGATGCTTTGTAGAGAATTGTCTTTTTAAATCAGTAGTTTACCTCCTCTAATCACTACTGGAAGAAATGATGAAATAAAAGAGCTAAACAGAAGATTTCAAAGGGCAGCTCAAGAAGACAAAGTAAAATATTATAATGAAATGTGCAAAGACCTGGAGTAGGAAAACCAAAAGGAAGAAGACACGCTCAGCATTTCTCAAGCTGAAAGAACCGAAGAAAAAATTCAAGCCTTGAGTTGCAATTGTGAAGGATTCTATGGGCAAAATATTCAGTGACGCAGGAAGCATCAAAAGCAGATGGAAGGGAATACACAGAGTCACTACCAAAAAGAATTGGTCAAAAAAAAAGAATTGGTCAATGTTCAACCATTTCAGGAGGTAACATACAGTCAGGAATCAATGGTATTGAAGAAAGAAGTCCAAGCTGCACTGAAGACATTGGCGAAAAACAAGGCTCCAAGAATTGACGGAATACCAAGTGAGATGTTTCAACAGACAGATGCAGTTGCAGTGCTAGAGGTACTCAATTGTCCATGCCAAGAAATTTGGAAGACAGCTACCTGGCCAACCGACTGGAAGAGATCCATATTTGTTCCCATTCCAAAGAAAGTGATCCAACAGAATGTGGAAATTGTCGAACAATATCATTAATGTAGCATAGCAAGTAAAATTTTGCTGAAGATCATTCAAAAGCGGTTGCAGCAGTACATTGTCAGGGAACTGACAGAAATTCAAGCCAGATTCAGAGGAGGGCGTGCAACGAGGGATATCATTGCTGATGTCAGATGGATCTTGGCTGAAAGCAGAGAATACCAGAAAGATGTTTACCTGTATTTTATTGACTATGCAAAGGCATTCGACTGTGTGGATCATAACAAATTATGGATAACATTGCAAAGAATGAGAATTCCAGAATGCTTAATTGTGCTCATGTGGAACCTGTACATAGACCAAAGGCCAATCATTCTAACAGAACAAGGAGATACTGCATGGTTTAAAATCAAGAAAGGTGTGCATCAGAGTTGTATCCTTTCACCATACTTATTCAGTCTTTATGCTGAGCAAATAATCCAAGAAGCTGGATTAATATGAAGAATGTGACATCAGGATTGGTGGAAGACTGATTAACAACCTGTGTTATGCAGATGACACAACCTTGCTTGCTGAAAGTGAAAGAGAGCTTGAAGCACTTAATGATGAAGATCAAAGACTACAGCCTTCAGGATTGAGGTGTTGTACACCTCAACATAAAGAAAACAAAAATCCTCACAAGTGGACCAATAAGCAACATCATGATAAGTGGAGAAAAGATTGATGTTGTCAAGGGTTTCATTTTACTTGGATCCACAATCAACACCCATGGAAGCAGCAGTCAGGAAATCAAACGACATAGTCCATTGGGCAAATCTGCTACAAAAGACCTCTTTAAAATGTTAAAAAGCAAAGATGTCATTTTGAGGACTAAGGTGCTCCTGACCCAAGCCATGGTGTTTTCAGTTGCCTCATATGCATGCAAAAGCTGGACAATGAATAAGGAAGACCGAAGAAGAATTGATCCCTTTGAATTATGGTGTTGACGAAGAATATTGACTATCTCATGGACTACCAGAAGAACAAACAATTCTGTCTTGGAAGAAATACAGCTAGAGTGCTCCTTGGAAGCGAGGATGGTGAGACTTGTCTTGCGTACTTTGGACATGTTATCAGGAGGGACCAGTCCCTAGAGAAGGACATCATGCTCGTTAAAGTAGAGGGTCATTGAAAAAGAGGAAGACCCTTGACAAGATGGATTGACAAAGTGGCTGCAACAATGGGCTCAGACATAACAACAATTGTGAGGATGGCGCAGGACCAGGCAGTACATAGGGTCACTATGAGTTGGAACCGACTTGAAGGCACCTAACAACAACAACAGTCACCACTGATATGTTCATTCTGTTCTTTTGCCTGTTTATTGGTAATTGTGTCTTATTGACAATAGTTTATATTATTAGAGTTTTAAGAAAAGTGTGGGCATTCAAAAAAAGAGATATTAACTTACCCAATATTTTGGCCAGTAATGTATTTAATTTACTAGTGTTTAAAGAACCAAAATATAGGTGAACACAAATGGTTACTATGAACATAGTCCCATAATTCAAGCCATGAAGTAGTAAGAGATATTACTTGCAAGTAGTAGATATGTAGATTCGTCATCTATATACTATCATAAGTCATGGTCATCTATATACCATCATATATACTGTTACTCCATGCTATACTGACCTATACAAGTTAAATTTTATCTTAGTTAGCTTAAAGAACCCCTTCAAGTAGTGAATTTCACAGTAATTCTATGTAACTGAAGTCAGTGCATATATTTATACTTCATCCTGCAACTGGAAATAGTGCTATATTGGATTATATTTTTCATAATTTGGAATAATTAAATATCTCCTAACATTGTTACCTGAAACAATTTTTATCTATTCAAAGGAGAAAAGATTGATGCTAGTGATTTAAAAAATGTCCTGGCAAACATGGGAATCGAGGTCACTGACAAAGAACACTTGATGCTGTTAAAAACTCTGCCAGTCCATAGTGAGTATTTAACATACCACCATGGTGTTCAGGGAAATGTGGTATTGGGGGCTTCTGGGTAAGAACTATCTGGTGCCCTGTGAAAACCACTAAGAAAAATGCAGTTCTGATATGAGAAACCCTGTGCTTGTCACTTGTACTTTAATTTGGAAGCGAGAAATGACAAGATGGATTGACAAAGTGGCTGCCAACAATGGGCTCAAACATAACAACGATTGTGAGGATGGCACAGGACCAGGCAGTGTTTCGTTCTGTTGTACATAGGGTCACTATGAGTTGGAAATTTTAAGTGAAAAACTTCCCTTTTCCATTTCTGCCAGTAGGTCCCTAGTAAATATTTTAACAGTTACACAGCTAAATTCTTCTGTAGCCTCCTGAATTCACCCCAGATCCTCAATCTGCCCCTTGGTAGCCCTCCTATCTCCTCAAAATCCAGCAACTAAAAAGTAAACACCTAAGAGTAGGGAACCTCCAGGACCCTGTGCTTACACTGTCAGTATCCATCCTGATTGGTCAGTGCCCCAACCAGTCAGCCCTGCAGAAGTTTCACCTCCTGGACACTTGCGTAGGCTCCCCCCTCCCAGAGACCCCCGAGGCCAGCCTGTGCTTCACCTGTTCCCTCTACCCATCCCAGGACCTCCCCCATAGACATCCTTCCCCCCTGCCACCTCATAGTTCCTGTTCCCGAAAGCCCCCTAGGCAAGAGTAAGCCTGGACATTGTCAAGGAGCTAGCACCCCTGTGGGCAGAAGTAGCATTCTGGTCAGCAAAAGCCCTGTGTCCATCTGCATTCTCACATGTACTCCTAAGGCTGTGGCCACTCACTGTCAAGTCAACTGGCATTCTCTCAGTTCCTTCTCAAGGGGCCAGTTACAAGAGCTGCAGCCATCTGAGGACTTTGGCTCTGAGAGAGCAGAATAGAGATGCAGAAAGCAGCAGATGGACTGTGATGGGGACTACTGCCGGCACACACTGGTGCTGAGGGCTCTGTCAACACTGCAGGTGGATAGAGGCCTCTGAGGACAGATAGGACCCATGGGAATGGGTTGGGTTGGAGAATATACGCTGTTCTCAGTCCCTACTGAATTTTACCTCCATTTATGGAAAAAGTTTGTTTAGAAAACATTTTTTTTAATTTTTCATTTAAATAGTTGATATTACTGTTTAGGAGCCCTGGTGGTGCAATGGCTAAAACACTCAGCTGCTAATCAAAAGGTCATCAGTTCAAACCCACCAGTAGCTTCACGGGAGAAAGCTGTGGCAGTCTGCTTCCGTAAAGATTTACAGCCTTGGAAACCCTATTGGGAGGTTCTGCTCTGTGCTATAGGGTCGCTATGAGTCAGAATCGACTCGACGGTATTGGGGTTTTTGTTGATATTACTGTTTGGGTTGTTATCTATTTTTTTATATAATTTTATTTATTTTGTTGTTGTTGAGAATATACACAGCAAGACATACACCAGTTCACCAGTTTCTGCATGTACCATTTGGTGACATTGATTACATTCTTCGAGTTGTGTAATTTTCTAGATGAATCATATAAAATGTCTTTATTTATGAAATTATAGATTTTATATCCTTTCTCTTTGACCTAAATTTTACCATATCTTACAGGTGATAGAAAGGTGTATAAGAAAAGATTACTGGATAGTGTGAAGCCTCTTGAAGGTAAGGATCATGAGAACAGCAGCTGAAATTTATTGTGCTTTGCATTTGCTTTTTAAAATCCCTGTTCTTTCTCACTGATTAGAATCTTGCTATTCCACTGTTCCAGTGGTTTATTGATTGTGAACTTATGTCTCATAACCTACCATTCTTCTTGGGGTAAAACTAAATTTGAGGAAGTTATTGTTAGTAATATTACAAGTTTGAAATTTTGCTTTCATTTAGTGGAAGAGTGGAATATAGCAAAATTCTAATCTTGGTTATCTTTTCCACAAATCTTTCAGACTTATCTAATGTTTTTTATCCATGAGGATGTCAACTGAAAGTTATAGTACAGTGTTGAGGGAATATTTTCTCTTCCTGATTCCCACTGACTATCTTGGTTCAGACTATAAATGGCCAATATACTTCAATCACAAGTTAGGGTGGATGCATGCTCAAAGCTAGCATTTTCCACTTCTTGGAATTACTTGTATTTCTTATTTCCATTCACTTCTTTCCTAAGGAAAAAAAATCTATGCCAGTAAGCTGGGAACTCTTATGGAAATCATGGAAATTGAGCTTCAGAGTGAGGAATATAATGATCTACTGAACCATCTGCCAATTGATGGTAAGTATTTCAAATGTCACTGTACCTAGGGGCAATCTTAGGGCTTCTGTATGAGGACTTCTGCAAGTAAGCCTTTCAATCTCTCTTGAAAATTTTATGATGAAATATTTCAAACGTACAGAAAAACAAAGAACCGTATAACAAACTCTTGTGTACCCACTGGCTAGGTTTAACAAATGTTACCATTTTTACTTCATATGTCTTCACCCTTCCTTCCTTTCTTCCTTCCTTCTTTCTTTCCTTCCTTCTTTCTTTCCTTCCTTCTTCTTTTCTTTCTTTCTTTCCTTCCTTCCTTCTTTCCTTCAAATATATAACTTTTTTTATAAAGTAAAAAGTTTCATTAATAACTGTTTTAGTTATCTAGTGCTGCTGTAACAGAAATGCCACAAGTGGATGGCTTTAACAAAGAGAAGGAAAATCACATCAGATGACAAAATGGTGGACAATCACACAGTACTGGGAATCATGACCTAGCCAAGTTGACAGACATTTTTTGGGGACACAATTCAATCCATGACAATGACTAAGACCAGTTTAACTGGACAAAAAGGTCAAAGAGAAAAAGCTAGGATAATTCATTAGGAAGAAAATGCTAAGGGATGAGCCCCAAGCTAAAATTTCCTCATTAGGGAGCCGTTGGATTCAAACCTAGAGACAGGGGCTTCCCCCATTAAAAACCTGATTAAAAAAGAAGCTTCCATCAGAGAGCAAGACAGCATATCTTTCAGTAGAGCCAGCACATGCCAACCCAAAGTAAATAAATAGTTCTTCTCTCCTAATTCAGGCCTTCTAGTCTCAACCAGTGATTGACAGGTATAGTGTTACCAGCAAACATCTTCCATGCTACTCTTACCTATAATTGGCCTTATCATAAAAAACAGTTGTGCCCAGAACAACTAGATGGTATCCAGCTACCACCACTGACTGCTCTGAGAGAGATCACAATAGAGGGTCCCAGACAGAACAGGAGAAAAATGTAGAACAAAATTCAAGTTCATTCAAGTTCACAAAAAAAAAAAAAAGACCAGACTTGCTAGTCTGACAGAGACTGGAAAAATCCCAAGAGTATGACCCCCAGACACCTTTTTAACTCAGTACTGAAGTCACTCCTGAGGGTCACCCATCAGCCAAAGATTAGACAGGTCTGTAGGGCCAACAATAACACATGTGAGGCACATGCTTCATGGTTCGATCATGTCTACAAGACTAAATGGGCACATCAGCCCAAAGCAAAGATGAGAAAGCAGGAAGGGACGAGAAAACTGGACGAATGGAAACAGGGAACTGTGTGGAGAAGGGAGGAGTATTGACACATCGAAGGATTGGCAACCAATGTCACAAAACAATTCGTAAATTGTTTAATGAGAAACTAATTTTCTCTGTAAACTTTCACCTAAAGCACAATTAAAAAAAAGAAGAAGAATTAATACTGAAAAAGAAAAAGAAAAAAGCAATTGTGGCCAGCCTGGGGATTTAGAACCTTGCTCTTCCTGAGTTTAGCAACATTGGTAATTATCCACAATATTATATAGCTCCTATTCCTAGCATGAAAAAAATCAACATAAATCACTTTCATTGTGATACTGTCCTTACATATTAGCTATGGTATGTCAAAACGCTTTCTACCAGAAAAGGTGTTATTATTAGTGAGATATTTTTCAGAACCTTCGTATAAGAGAGATGACAGAATATATTTTTCTTCTCAAACAGTGGGACTACTTCTGTATCACTGGCATTGTTTCATTCATTTAACTAGAACAAACTATATGCAAAACACTGTACCGGGGAATGGGCAATTTATAGGGGGTAGCAGTGGTTCAGTGGTAGCATACTTACCTTCCATGCAGGAGACCTAGGTTCAGCTTTCAGCCAATAGACCTCAAGCACAGCAACCACTCACCTGTCAGTGCAGGCTTGCGTATTGCTATGATCAGAACAGATTTCAGCAGAGCTTCCAGACTAAGAAAGACTAGGGTAAAAGACTTGGGATCTACTTCAAAAAAAGTCAGCCAGTGAAAACCCTATGGGTCGTAATGGTCCCATTCCGTTGGACATGGGGTCACCATGAGTCAGGGACAACTCAATGGCAGTTAACAAGTGTAAAGAAAATTAAAGGCATTATGATTGCTCTCAGATAGCTTACAGCTTGAGCGACATAAGCAAAATTTAGAGAGTGGGAAAATGGCATGCTGTTAAGGTTTAAGGATCTGCTACTTATGTAAATAAATGACTTCTAGGTTTAAATTAAATCTTGTCTATTTAAGTATGCTCCCCTTACTGGTCTGAAGGAAGGGAAAAGTCCTGTTAAAAGGGACTACTATTAAATTTGTTTCCCCTCTATATTGAGGGTACATAATATTCATTCCTCCATTTCTTGATTATTTTGAGTCAAAGGAGTTAGTAGAGAAAATCATGAAAAACAGTTGAATTCCAACCCTTTATTTTACAACTTGAAAAGTTCATATTATTTTTGTAAGTCTAAGATTTGGTCTCTGTGCCTGAATTGTTTTTTCTTACAGAGGGTGGAAAGGTTAACCTGAATGTGGCAATGAATGATGTGAAAGCTTTTACAGGTGAGTAAGTTATGGTGAAAAGGGTATTCATTATTGACTAATATTTTCTGCTTTGTAAGGAGCCCTGGTGGTACAGTGGTTAAAGCACTCGGCTGCTAACCTAAAGATTGGCAGTTTGAACCCACCAGCTGCTCCATGGAAGAAAGATGTGGCAGTCTGCTTCTGTAAAGATTACAGCCTTGGAAACCCTATGGGGCAGTTCTACTCTGTCCTATAGGGTTGCCAGGAGTCAGAATCGACTTGATGGCAGTGGGTTTGTTTTTTTTTTTTTTCCATTTTAACGCTTTGTAGAAAAAAAGTTAGTTGTTTTTTAAACAGTAGTTTTATTTTCAGGCTAGTAATGACGTAAGTAAGTTGACTCCCCTACAAATGTAATAGTTAAATGTTTGTTTCATAATCTTTCCGTTTGATTTGGGATTTTTCTGGTATTTACCATTGCCATCAAGTCCATTTTGACTCACAGTGACCCTCTAGGACAGAGTAGAACTGCTCCATAGGGTTTTCAAGGCTGTAAATCTTTATAGAACAGATTGTCACATCCTTCTCCCGCGGAGCAGCTGGTGGGTTCAAACTGCCAACATTTCAGTTAACAGCCAAGCACTTAACCACTGCACCACCAGAGCTCTTTTTCTGATATAGACCTGTATTATGTGGAATTTTGACCAATAATGTTTTTTCACTTCACCATTATTGAAGCAACCAAAATTTAAGTCAAGACTGTTCAATCTCAAGGCGAAGCTTTTGTGGTATAGCCAGGAAATGTGGCCAATGTGACCAAAAAAAAAAAAGAACCATTATTCAAGTAATAGGATGGTATTTGACTAGTATCTAGAATTATTTGAGCTTTTCATTTGCTTGACTTAAAAAACATAAATTATTTTTCTGACTTAAAACACACACCACGTGTCCTTTGTATCTATTTGGTTTAATAAGTTTAATGGTAAATTTGCTCTTCTAATTAAGGATAATGCTGCATACATTATTATTCATAATTTGAAGTCAGTAGTCCATTCCTAAAATTCTTACATGTTAACAATTCCCATCTTTCCGAAGGAGAGAAGGTTGATGTCCATAATCTAGAAAGGGTGCTGAGGAGAATGGGGCTAGTACTCACTGATAAGGAGCACATGGAGCTGTTGGAAACTCTGCCAAGTGACAGTAAGTATTTAGCACATCCTTTGCAGCTTGGACTTAAGGGCTTGTGTGTGAGAACTTCGAAAATTTTACAGGTGTATGCTCTATAAACCCCATTTAGAAAACACAGTTCTCACACAAGAAGAAATCCTGCTCTTGTACGTTGTAATACTGGGAGTTGGCAGCTTCTTTCACTAGTTTCCCACCAAAACCAAGCTTGTTGCCGTCGAGTCGATTCCAACTCACAGCGACCCTATAGGTCAGAGTAGAACTGCCCCATAGGGTTTCCAAGGAGCAGCTGGTGGATTCAAACTGCTGACGTTTTGGTTAGCAGCTGTAGCTCTTAACCACTGTGCCACCAGGGCTCCGGTTTCCCACCATTAAGGCTAAGTATTCCTTTCATCCTGAGAGCACTGCCTCATCTAAACCATAACCAAGGAGAAGAGGGAAGTCAAGGGAATAAGGAAGAGAAAGAAGAAAAAAGAGGGAAATTGGGAAATAAAATGTTTTAAAATTCAATCAATGGGTAGATTTATAAGGGAGAAAGCTTTCATCATTTTTTGTTTCATTCTTACTTGAGGGTAAAATAGAATCAACTTCCAAACAAATCTGAAAGTTTTTTCCGTGAAATTATGGATGTTGTGCATCTTTTGAGTCTCCCCACCATTTAACCTATATTCTGAATTGTGTCTTATCTTTCAGCTGATGGAAAGGTGTATAAAAATAGATTGCTAAAAAGTGTGAAGGCCCTCAATGGTGAGTGAGAAGCAACATGAATGACCAAGGAAAAATAAAATCCTTAAACGCTTAGCAGTTTCTTTTAAATGTTCCAGCTTTGCTTCCTGCCAATTTATTGATCCAGTGTGATGCCTCATAACTTAACATTTTTCTAGGGCTTCAAGCCTTTTCATTCCAGCTCGTGCCCCTGCTGAGAATTTGCGTTTCTAACAAGTTCCCAGGCAATGCTAATGGTGCTGGTTAGGGACCATTTCTGAGAACCACTAGTAGAGCAGTAGTTCTCTAAATTTATTATACATAAAAATCACCTGGGGATCTCATGTTTAACATATAGATTCTGATTCAGTATATCTGGGATGGAAATGCAAATTCTCAGCAGGGGTTTGAACCAGAACAATCCAGTCCGAAGACTTGCATTCTTCTTTGGGAGCATTATTGGCCTTTTGGGATATAAGTTAGAGTATCAGATTACTGTAAGAAGTTTCGAACACTGTTCTCTGGCAAGAATTGTATAGATTGGCTGTTGTTTCAACCATGAGTCTTCAGATTTGCCTGTTGTTAGGTGCTGTTGAATCGGTTCCAACTCATAGCAACCCTATGTACAGCAGAACGAAACACCTGCCCGGTCCTGCGCCATCCTCGCAATCATTGTTATGCTTGAGCCCATTGTTGCAGTCACTGTGTCAGTCCATCTCATTGAGGGTCTTCCTCTCTTTCACTGACCTTCTGCTTTACCAAGTATGATGTCCTTCTCCAGGGACTGGTCCCTCCTGATAACATGTCCAAAGTACGTGAGATGAAATCCTTGCTTCTGAGGAGCATTCTGGCTGTACTTCTTCCCAGACAGATTTGTTTGTTCTTCTGGCAATCCATGGTATATTCAGTATTCTTTGCCAATACCATAATTCGACTCCTCTCTGTTTACGTCCTGTGGAAAACTGAAGTGGAGTCCCTGGTCCAGTATTAAGGAAAATATTCTGTTTCCACTTTCCATACTAACTCAGTGTAAACAATTCTTTTTTACATTTTTAATTAGAAAAATTTAAAGAAAACACAAAACTACTATAAAAAATTATTCAACTGTACCACTTAAAAAACTGATATAAAGAAATAATAGTCTTTTCCCATAAAGGCAACTGCGATTAACAAGTCAGTGATTCTCTTTCTCAATTTTTTCCTGTTTTTAACAGACATATTAAAATATATGGATATAGATATATAAATATAGATGTATATACATGTTAATAATTTCTTTGTGCCCTTATGCATTACCTTTCAACTGAGGTTTATGGTTCATGACCGTAATTAGAATTTTTCACTCTTAGGCATCAATACTGATGTTCTTAATCTGTGCCCTTCTTTCCTAAGGGCCAAAGGTCAAAATCAACAAAGTGGAATCCCTTGTGGAAGAGATGGAAATTATTCTTAATGATGAAGAACTTGAGGAACTAACGATGCAACTATCAACTGATGGTAAGTATTACAGACATCATTATGCCCTTCAGAGAAACTTGAGCTCTTCTGTTAGTACTGAAAGTAGCTTTTTTAGTGTCATAATGAAGTAAATGTAAATAGAAAGACTTAATTCTGACTCATGAGGAAATACCATCACCAAAGCTGTTTTTTAAAAACGTTTCAGGGATGTCACTTGTGGGACTCAGTCATACCTGGGGATTCCACACACTTAAGAAGCTGAAAGAAAAATTAATAGAAGGGAATTTTTAAGAGAAAATTTAAGAAAGTCAAATGATAAATTAGTAAAGAATGGATGCAAGACAAAGCGTTAATGTCTCTAAGGTAGAAAAAACCCTTGTACATTGATAAGAAAATACTGAGAGTAGAAAAATAGGCAAAAATATGACCAGGTAATCCCTAGAAGATGAAATATAAATGCCCAATAACACATAAAAGATGTTCAACCTCACCAATAATCATGAAAATGCAAAAGAAAACAAGATACAGAACTATTTTTTACTCATTATAATGGTAAAAAAAATTAACAAGATTGATAACATCTAGATATCCTCTTGGAAAAGTCATCTGACCATCTTTATGGGGGGAAAAAACCTGCCCTGTTCCCTGGTGAATCCAGCCTCCATTCCTCATCTGTAGTGTACAATATTTCTTTGTGCTGAGTCATGGTTCCTGTTCTGACACTAATTATTGATTTATTCTCCTAAAAAGTCCGAAGTCTTCCCCATCTCAGTAACAGTACCCCATCCACCCCATTGATGGGGGAGGGGAGACTAGGCTTATCTATGATTTCTCCTTTCCCTCATATCCTACATTCAAACCTAAGCTCTACCTGAAAAGCATGTCATGAGTCCATCCGCTTCTCACCCTCTCCACTGCTACAACCATAGCCCAAGGCACCATTTATATCTTGCCTGGGCCACTGAAACAGCCTGCATTCCCCTATCCTGCACACACCAGCCAGAGTGATCTTTTTAAAGCTGAAATCAGGTTATGTTACCCCTCTTCTTCAAGCCCTTAAATGGCATTCCATTGCATAAATAAAATGGATAACTTTATCCATTTTTAGAATAAAATCCAAACCTTATCATGGCCTACAAGGCCCTGCATGATTTGGCCCATGCCACACTGGCCTCCTCTCTGTCCCTCAGTCATGTCAAATTCATTCCCATCATTGAACTATCGCACATACTTTTCTTCTGTTTGGAATGTTCATCCCCCAATTCCTCACATGACTACTCCCCATCTTATCTTTCAGGCCTCAGCCCAAATAGACTTTCCTCAGAGAGGTCTTCCTTGACCTCCCTATCTAAAGCAATCCCACTCTCTATTACTCTTTATTGCCTTTTTTTTTTTTTTTTTTTTTTGATAGCATCTTATTGGAACCTCAAATTATCTTTTTTGCTTATTTTTCACGTTTATTGTCTGTCTCCTTCTGCTAGATTGTACGTTCCTCGAGGGCAAGAACTCTGTCATCTTGTTTACTTTTGTGTCCCCAAGGCCTAGCAAAGTGTCTGGCACATAGACGGTGCTCCATAAACATTTGTTAATTAACTGACTAAATAAAAATTTTAAAGATCAGATTTATTTATCCCCTCTCCCTACCCTTAACTATAATCAATAGTTGCTTATCTTCATCTTACTCAGTGGGCTCCAAGGCAAAGAAAAAAGGAAGATATAAGAATGCTTTGTTATAGATCGAAAGCTTTCTTTGTTTCTAAGATAACAGAAGTCCATAAAATTCTAAGGAAAATTAGGAAAAAGATTACTGAATTCTTATGGTTGTTCATAATTTCAAAGCTTTATGCAGCATAACTATTGTGAGTCTCAGTAACATCAGCCTATCTGATTCTGAAGTATACTTTACTTGCCTTACAGATGATAAAACAGTTGATCTGAATGATTTGATGGATACTATCAGTCACATCAAGGGTGAGTTGCAATCTATGATGAAAAGATGTTATAAATAACATCTTAATACTTTGTCATTAATGGTGGAGAAAAACATTTCCCCTTCGTAAATGTTTAAATTCTTTCATACAATATATGTTCCATTTTTGTGGGTGTTGCTGAACTTGGGTAAATAATTACTAATCTCGTTTATATATCAATGCCAATAATAATAATTCTATGAAATTTTCCCCAAAAAAGTACTTCAGTATAGATATATGTGATGCTTGCTTGACATCCGTTAACCCCACTCCTAGAAATGTATCCTAAGGAAATAACTTGATAGAATAAAAGAAAAAAATATATCTGCCAAAAGACTTTCATTCTCATAGTAGTGAGAAATTTGAAACAGCCTAAATATCTAACAGTATTCGAACCACTACATAAACCATGGTATGTCAGTTTAATGAGATATCATGTGTTAAAATGCTGTGAAATTATGTAGCAACTCGGAAACATGTTTATGATGTAATAATATCAGGTTGTAAAACCAGAATACAAGATTGTATGTATTGCCACACTGTCAAAGCACAGTCTTATTCTCAAACACTGGAATGGGATATGAAAAACTAAAAATGTGGTAGGGTTCTGTGGTAGGGTGGTGGAATTATATATTTTTCCTTTTACATTAATCTTTAATGTTATATTGTTTTTACAATGAATGAAGAAAAATTACTTCTCGCTTGATTGTTTTGAGGTTAATAAAATTCTTGGAAGGCATAGTGACCAGAGAAGCAAAGTACAGGCAAATATGTTTAAAAATAAATAAAAATGAAGTTAAAAAAAACAGATCTGTAAAAAAAAACCCTGAATTTTCAAGTGGAGTAAGAGGAGAGAAAATAAAATCAAGTCCTACATATAGCTCGACTTGCTACAGATTTGCAGTAACCCAACAGTCAATTCATAACTCCTGGTGTACTTTCTTCCTTATAACCACCTTATGATTCCCTGAACCAAAATTAAAGACACCAGGTTTTTTTCTGACCCTTCTATTAAGTCTGGGTGTACACAGTGATAATATATATAAAGATGTTGTTGTTAGCTGCCCTCAGGTCGATTCCAACTCATGGCGACCCCATATGTTACAGAGTAGAACTGCTCCATAGGTTTTCTTGGCTGTAATCTTTACAGAAGCAGGAAGCAGTTCACCAGGCCTTTTCTTCTGCAAACATGCTGGATAGATTCGACCCACTAACCTTTAGGTTAGCAGCTGATCACAAACTGGTCATGCCACCCAGGCTGCTTATATCTAAGCATAGACGGTGCTTTTCATTCTTTGTAATCTCAAATAGATCTAGTATTTCTGCAATTCATTTCTCGCCTTTTCTAAGGAGAGGTGATTGGTGTCCAGGACTTAGACAACTTTCTAGCAAGCAAGGGAATTGAGCTCACAGATGGAGAAATGAAGGAGCTGATACCTCAACTGGCAGTTAATAGTAAGTTGTTTTTTAAAAAAAATAATTCTGTTGTCTTTCAAGAAGTGTGTCTTTGTTGTCCTATGAATAAGTTATCTTAAAAATCTTGTAAGAAATTTGATTGGAATTGCTTTGAATTTGTGGTTTTATTTAGAGATATACATCTTTACAAACCAAACCAGTTGTTGTCGAGTGGGGAAGTGGTTAAGCGCTTGGCTGCTAACCAAAAGGTCAGCGGTTAGAACCGAGCTGCTTTGAGGGAGAAAGATATAGCAGTCTGCATCTGTAAAGATTACAGCCTTGGAAACCCTATGGGGCAGTTCTACACTACCCTACAGGGTCACTATGAGTCAGAATTGACTTGACAGCAATGGGTTTTTGGTATGCAGCTTTACAATGTTGCCATACCATTCATGAGTATGGTATATCTTATCATTTATTTGAGTCTCCTTATTTGTCCTTTAATATAGCATTTTAAAATTTACTCCAAAAGTGTCTTCTTCATTCAGCACCTGAAATTTAATCTCAGTCCAAGCTCACATCATTCCCTTTCCACCCCTGTCCAGATCTTTTTCCGTTTCTTCTTCTGTTAATAATACTGTGCTTTTTATCAATCACACTGGTTCAAGCTTTCAGTCTTCTTTAGCGCTGCCCTCTTCTTGGTACCTTACTCACCCTATCACTTCCGTTCTAGACAATTATCCAAATTCCAGAGGAAACCAATGTCGCTAGTTCTTCTAGCTCATGTAAGAAGTTCCAGCCTGCTATATTATTTTTAATAATTTCACACTTTTATCAGTTTTTAAGAGTTTTTATATGAGTGCCTCTGTATCTGAATCAAAATTATTTTACAGGAAATGGGAAGATTAAGGTGCATTCAATAATGGAGGGCCTGGAGAAGTTTAAATGTGAGTGAAAATTTATCATGAAATATAAAATTTATCATCTGAGACTATGCATTTATTTATATATGTATTTTATTGGCTATAAAAATAATGCATGTTCATTGTAGAAAAAATTCTGTACTCAGAAAATGAAAGAATGAAAAAGGAAAATTTTTAATGATCCTTAATTCTGTCACCCAGTTTTAATCCATAATTTTATCAACCTAAATTTTTTCCTTATACATACACAATTTTGTGCATTTCGTTTTTAAATTCCCCCCTCCAATTATTTTTCCATTTTCTTCCCAATATTAAAATTATAAATATTTAATTTTATATTATAAATTTATCTAATGACCTAAAATTTCTTTTTGTATGCCTCTGAAATTTAATAGATAACCTCAGAACTTTTTGTTTACAGGCCCTTTATTATCTCTAATTATGTCTAAAATAAGTTTCCCATTGCCAGAATGCCATGTTCTATGCTTATGTAGAAACGAATGAATGGAAGGTGAGAAAATTATACTGTGAAATTGATCAGTATGGGCAAGGTAAAACTTGTCTTCACCACCCCCCTGCCCCACACACACACACTGACAACCTCCATCTGCACTTGATTCTTAAGTAATTTTGATTTGTTCTCTGCACCTGCATTTCTCAACAAATGTGCCAAAAAAATTGTTACTGTGTCTCTGAAAGCCTGACGGTGTTTCAAAAACATATATTTAAAAATAATTTAAGGTACTTTATGCAAGTATCCACAAAATGAATCTTAATAAAAGAAGATAAATTTAAATTCCAGATACCCACGCTTAACGTTTCCAAGTGGGTCCTCTTACATTTTATTACTCGTAAAAAAAAAAAAAAACTCTTGGAATAAGGCCATACTGCCCTATCCATTGCTACATCTATTGTTACAGCTAGAAAACTTTCAGAAATGTTTGCTTGGTAGCTTTTAGTCCCAGCATTTAAAATTATGCTACTGAATTTAGGAATATTGGAAGCAATAGTCCATGATCATGTATCACTTGTTATTCATCTGTAAGTATCTACTGAGCACCCAAGAAAGTTCAATGATGAATAAGAGCCAAGCAAAGTTCTTGCTTTCACCCAGGCTTAGTTTTTTAATACGTAGTATGTGCTTAATAAATGCTTGTTGATAGACTAATAAAGGGGCTAGTCTCCAGCTTTCATATAATTGAAGATTCACTAACCCAAGCAGCTGTATCAAGATCATTCTTGAGATAACCCTCCGGATCTGGCCACTCAAAAGAAATAGTTCTTTAAAAATAGCAACTCCCAGTGCACGTGAGTCTTCCAATTCAGAATCGATTGTTAACAAACCATTTATGAAGCCCAGAAAACAAGATTTACAGTCCTCTCTGCTTACTTTGGAGGAGCCTTGGTGGTGCAGGCGTTAAGCACTCGGCTGCCAACCGAAAAGTCAGCAGTTCGAATCCACCATTCGCCCCTCAGGAGGACTGTATGGCAGTCTGCTTCTGTAAAGATTATAGCCTTGGAAACCCTATGGGAGCAGTTCTGTTCTGTCCTATAGGGTTGCTATGAGTTGGAATTGACTCGACAGCAATGTTTTTTGGTCTGTTTACTCTTCTGTCACTCTTCTTTCTCCTCATCCATTTCTTCTTTTTCCCTCCTTATCTTCTCCAGGTCTCTATTAATAAATTCTTTTCCTTTCATTCCTGCTTCTCCTTGTTTTCATAGTGGTATTCTTCTTTCTTTTCCTTCCACTCTCTTTATCAAGCATGTATATTTCACCTGGTTACCCTGCTCATCCACTTGCTGTCTTCACTCTCTAAACCCCATTCCACTTGTTGCCACCAAAATATATTTTACTCTGTGGAGTCTAAAATGCATTAAAGAAAATTTAGACATTTTAAATGTTTCATAATTTTAGAAATTTCAAACACTAGTATCTATTCCACAGACTCACCAAATAATTTCTACTTGTAAGGTTTTCTTTATAGATACAGGTATTAGAGGAATAGATTTTGTACATTTAAACATGTACCACTGTAATTTAAGTTTTCAGACTGAAAATTCAGATGACTAGACCATAGGATCGCTATGAGTAGGAATCAACTCAATGGCAACAGGTTTAGACATAGGCATAAATGGCATTTTTCATACTTAAGTGTCTTTTTTTTTTCCTTGATTACCATATTTCACCATCTCTATCTAAGGAATCAAAGTGAATTTCAGTTACCTAAGCACAATCCTGAATAATTTGAAAATGACAATCACATATGAACAACTTCAAGACCTGCAATATTTTTTTATTGTACTTTAGATGAAAGTTTACAGAGCAAACTAGTTTCTCATTAAACAATTAATACACATATCATTTCGTGACACTGGTTGCCAACCCTATGACATGTCAACACTTTCCCTTTCTCAACCTTGGGTTCCCCATTACCAGCTTTCCTGTCCTCTCCTGCCTTCTCATCCTTGCCCCTGGGCTGGTGTGCCCATTTAGTCTCATTTTGTTTTATGGGCCTGTCTAATCTTTGGCTGAAGGGTGAACCTCAGGAGTGACTTCATTACTGAGCTATAAGGGTCTCCGGGGGCCACACTCTCAGGGTTTCTCCAGTCTCTGTCAGACCAGTAAGCCTGGTCTTTTCATTTTTCGTGAGTTAGAATTTCGTTTTACGTTTTTCTCCAGCTCTGTTGTGATCCCTGTCAGAGTAGTCGGCAGTGGTAGCCGGGCACCATCTAGTCGTGCTGGACTCAGTCTGGTGGAGACTGTGGTAATTGTTGTCTATTAGTCCTTTGGACTAATCTTTCCCTTGTGTCTTTGGTTTTCTTTGTTCTCCCTTGCTCCAGATGGGGTGAGACTAATGGAGTGTCTTATATGGCCACTCACAAACTTTTAAGACCCCAAATGCTACTCACCAAAGTAGAATGTAGAACATTTTCTTTATAAACTATATTATGCCAATTTAGCTAGATGTTCCCCAAGACTATGGTCCCCGCAGCCCTCAGCCCAGTAATTCGGTCCCTCAGGGAGTTTGATGTGTCTATGGAGCTTCCATGACCTTGCCTTGGACAAGCTGTGCTGGCTTCCCCAGTATTGTGTATTGTCTTACCCTTCACAAAAGTTACCATTTATCTATTGTCTGTTTAGTGTTCCCCTCCACCCCTGCCCTCCATCATAACCATCAAAGATTGTTTTGTGTGTGTGTGTATATAAATCTTTTCATGAGTTTTTATAGTAGTAGTCTCATAAAATATTTGTCCTTTTGTGATTTGACTTATTTCACTCAGCATAATGCCCTCCAGATTCATCCATGCTGTGAGATGTTTCGCAGATTTATCGTTTTTTATAGTTGCATAGTATTCTATTATGTGTATGTACCATAGTTTGTTTATCCATTCATCTGTTGATGGGCACCTAGGATGTTTCCATCTTTTTGCTATTGTGAACAATACTGCAATAAACATGGGTGTGCATATGTCTATTCATGTGATAGCTCTTATTTCTCTAGGGTATATTCCTAGGAGTGGGATTGCTGGATCATATGGTATTTCTATTTCTAGCTTTTTAAGGAATTGCCATATCGTTTTCCAAAATGGATGTACCATTTTGCATTCCCACCAGCAGTGAGTGAATAGGAGTTCCAATCTCCCCCACAGCCTCTCCAACATTTGTTATTTTCTGTTTTGTGTTTTTTTTTTTCATTCATGCCAGTAATGTCGGAAGACCTGCAATATTTCTGTCCTTTGATGGCCTTCAGAGGCACTTGGGCTGTGGGGCTGTATGTAAGAATTTCTAAAACCACACTTATTAAGGACATAGAGAAGAAAATCTAATATACAATTTTAAAAATCTACTGTGCAAAAATAAAGTCTGCCTTTTGTCAGAAACAGAAATCTTGTAAGCCACATTCCCACCCAGAGTGGTGCCACAGGCAGTATCCAAGATTGGCATAGGGTGCCTCTAACAAAATAATGTCTAGGCAGGGAGAAGAGCCAAGCAATAGGGAAGAAGAAAAAAATGAGAATGAAAGAGACAGAGACAGAAGGGGACGGAGGGGAAAGAGAGGTCAGAAGAGGGGAAGTAAAAGATGTTTGACAGGTTTTTCTTGATGTTACAAATCATGTGTTTGGCCTTAATATTAACCATTCCCCCAGTAAAGAAGATATATCTACTTTATGGGTCTTGCTTTTTGCATGATATATTACCCTGTAGAGCCTTCATAGCCTAAACATTCCACCAGGTGCTTTCCATGTTTCCATAACCTGCCACTG